TACACACACACGCACACACACACACACACACACACACACACACACACACACACACACACACACACACACGCACACAGTTGTGAAATAATTATTCTGATACTAAAAACTTTTGACATCGAATTTCTCAAAACTAAAATTTGTGCAAATTTAACTTTGTAATTCTGAGGTAGCTTTTAAACGATATAAACAAATAAGATGACTTGTGATTTCAACGACAGCCAATGGGATAAATTTGGCAGAGAAGACTTTGCAAAGACTGCAAGCATTTAAAGGCTTCATTTCCACGTGTGGAAGAGCCAAGCTTGCAGGGATCTCTCTGGTTTCAGCAGTTTTAAATTCATGAAGCTTTATGTGATTCGCTGACCCTCTTTTTATTGTAGCTCTCCAATTAGGTCTGTTGGAAGCTATGCTCTCTCGAATTAACCCTATCCGTACGTCGTGTTTAACTATCGTATCCATACCACGTGGGGAACTCTGTGCCCCCATTTTCCAAAGAGGAAATGTACCCGTTAATCCAATCCGTACGCTTTCGTCAAAATTATTTTTTGAGAAATACTGAATGTTCCAAAGAGATCTTCACACTAGAAGTATTCTAAAATGTGAAGAATACAAACCATGGGGTACAAAATGACCCCAGGAGTATCGATAGGGTTAAGCGACAAATATTGAAGTAGTGCAGACATGTTCAGGGTTTCTGTAGAACGTTTAGTTGGCTTCGTTAGTGGAGAAATTCAAAAATAGAAGTTGGAAGATTTAAAAAAATAAATTAAAACGTAAAACAGAATACAGAGTAAAACCTGACACGCCCACAGCGGACAGGTTTTTCAAGTTCCAAACATTTTTTTACACATTATGTTCTTTGTCTTAAAGCATGTACATTAAATGTCACGCACATAGCGAAATTCGCTCTTAACGAATAGATTTCCTCGTCACACCGAATTCGCTATATCAACAAAACTGATATCATTTCAACATTATATCCACTTTAAACGTGTGTTTCAATGGACGTAACATATGTTGAGTTAGCAAGGGGAAAATGGATGAAAATTGCCCAACGATCAGGCACATGTCGGTTATTTCGATTTCATTATTTTGACGAGGGCCTGATTTTACCACAATGCCTCACATTTAGAATCACTAAGTGAAAACGTTCCGTAGACGTACCTGAGGGGAGAGACTTTGTCGGCGTAAAGGACAAAATCATATCTCTCTCCTGCGAAGATGTTGAAGGAGTCAGCCACGAACGGTTGGAAGGAGTTCCCGTCAGAGGCGATGATCATCATAGTGTGGTCATCTACAGACACCTGGGGGGGGGGGGGAGAAGGAAGGGGAGGTACAGGTTGTCTACTTTTTCATCATACTCACAGGCCAGCTATTGATCGGTCAAAAGTGGCGTCGGTGGCGTAGCGGTTGGGCTACCCGACTGGTGAACGTGAGATTGGGGGTTCGGGGGTTCGAGCCTCAGCTCGATCGACGTTGTGTTGTTGGGAAATGAACGTTACACGAATTTCTCATTTGGTTCGGTCCTTTCGGCGAAGGATGCAAGACTGGGAGGTCCCGCCTCTTAAAATAACCGAATAGTGTTGATAGGGACGTTAAACCACTACCATTTCACCGTTTCATTTGATTGGTCAAACTGTGTAACGTGTGTGTTGACAGGAAGCATACTCATGTGTATTGTAAGAGCCACATTGTACTTTCTATGACGGCAGAGGTTCTGTACTCGAATCTTTATGCCTACATAATATCGATGCCGTAGACCAAGAAAGTTTTTGACATTCGACTACAAAATGGTGTCTCTAAGTAGTAAATGACACATTTAGTTCTATAACAAAGAGCATTTCTGCGAAGGAAACTCAATGCATGTCTGCTAAAAAAAGAAATCATTATCGAATTTCTGCACTCTACCCTGCATGTAAATTAAAACAGTAACTCGAAAATTCAAAACTATTAGCCAAACGAAATATTTACAAAAAAAGGCATGTACACAAATATTATTAACAAAAGCAGCAATGTGAACAACAATAACCAAAACAACAAAAATAACAACGAAAAACAGCAGCAATCGTAGCAGTGGGAAAGAATTTAAAAAAAACCCAGGGACGTTGGGATAGAGGTGGGGTGGGGGGATTCTTGAAACGTACACAATGTGATTCTGCAGATTACTTTTTGGGAACAGTCTTCTTTCAGAACGAGTTGGAGAGCAGCAGTCACAGAGGCCCTCACGTCATATAGTTATATAAGGCTATACCAATAAGAAATAGTAAAGTCAAGAGAGGCGTGACGCTCAAAACGTGGCAAACTTTTCTCTGCCAGTTTCTTTTGTTTGTTTCATTGACCGTAGCGGAAGCCACAAGTCATCTTAATCTTTAATTGTAAAACGTACTGGCAAAACGAGTTACTTCTCAGATTCAAGCCTTAAAGAAACAGATAAATCACGCTTATAGGTGAAGTTTTTACAGTTTATTACTATGAAACAATAAAAGACAGGTTATAGTTAAAGAATATGGCATCAATTGAAAGTCTACAAGTTTGACACTAATGTCGATTTTTGGCCAATGTCTCCATTTGTGGATTGCGAGAAGTAACTCATTTTGTCAGCATGACTCACAATTGTTTTTTTTTCGCCTACCTTCCTCATCATCCGGTGCCTTACCGACTGGCGTGGGCGACCATAGACCTCCACTTCACTCTGTCTTGCGTTGCAGCGATGATGTATGTCAATCTTACCTTTCCCAGCCATGTTGTCAACCTGTCCAGCATTTCTTCCCTCTGTCTGCCTTTGCCTCTCTTTCCATCAAACTTGCCTGTTGTTGCAATATTCTCCAACGCTTTTTTTCCGCCTTGTGTGGCCAATAAACTTTGCCTGTCGCTTTATTTCGCCTATACGTATGATTGGTAGCTTTTAAGGAAAAGCGGGCTAACCCATATTTTGGGGATTCCAGAAATCTGCATCAAAGGTGGGCATAGACCTACCTATAGGATAATTTTGGTTTCATTGGTGTGTATATGTGTTTGGTTATAAATAAAACTCTCCTTGTTTTTAAAAGAAACTGAACAAGGGGCAAAAACTCTATCTTCGATTTTCTCAAAACAGCATTTTCCTGGATAGCCGTCTTGTGCCTGTACGTATAATTATTAATATACATAAATACATGCGGCTACATTGGTCATCGTTAGACACTGGCGGACAAGTTATTTTTGTCGTCTTTTATGGCGGTGTGATAACCGTTCCTCCTCCGCTCCTCCCCCTCCCCCCCCCCTTCCGCCCTTAATCGGAGAAACTAGCGACGCCCTGAAAAGAGCAGGTTAAAAAAAACAAACTGTCTTTTCAGCGCTCAAAACTGCATAAGGTCATAATTATTACCCAGCAGAGAGTAGGTTTAAGGCTAAAACAGTACCTAGACATGGATGGCTGGTGCCTCTATAAATAATTCATTGAGGGTCAAGAGCAGCTTTACCTGAACAGGACAGTTCAATATGCCGTTGCTGATGACACGGAAGCGGTACTTGTGGTTGGGTTTGACCTTGAACTCTGCCCTTGGCGTGTAGTGCAGGGTTCCGTTGTCGCCAGGAAACTGTTCGTATCTTCCTTGGCCTGAAACCAACGCCCAAGACGATAGAAATGTTACCTGCTTAATTAAGTAGCTTTACGTAGTAGCGAACTAAATCATTGTCCATTTCGCTCATAGTCTTAGTATTTTCACGCTTTGTTTCGATTTGGATTTCAGCAAGATGGGGCACAACAATTCCATAACTTGTTCTGTAGCATTTAAATTTGAACTTAACAATGTTTCCGAATAGATTGATTTGTTCGTTACATAATTTTCTAACATCAGACTATGTTATGTCTTCCTTCTAAACAGATGGTTGTACAATAATTTTTATCTTTATCTCGTAGGTGTTTTTACATCCCCTTTGAAACAATGCAGATCGTTTAAGAGGTCAGCTAGGCTACCGTTAATGAGCATGGAATCCGGTTTGTTTTGTCCGCCGTCATGGTGATGGGCCGCGAATCTGTTGATGGTCATATCAAACATCCAATCGTTGACGATCAAGACGTGCTCCGGAAGGTCATAGTCGTAGAGGTGAAGGTGAGGTTCAAGGTCAGGCGGCCTTCTCACCACCAGTGACCCGAAGAGGCCGTCTGACCTTTGGAATCCCGCGTGGGCGTGCCAGAAATGAGTGCCCGGGTTTACTGCTTTGAACCTGTATTGTTTGAAAAAAAAGTGTTGTTAATTTTTTTTATTAGCGGTTTAGTTTTTTGTTGTTGTTGTT